TTTTAATGAACTGTAGCGTTAATTTATTAAAAACAGTTTATTATTTTTAATTTATTTCCATACACTAAATACAAATTAATTTATGTATACTTAAATACCAATTTTCTATATCAGCAGTATTTATATTTCACATTTATAATTTAATATATCTAACAATTTGAATGTCTACCTTCAACTTCTGTCTATAAACGGTTCCTCCAACCTCCAACCAGGCCCGCCATTATAAACGGGCAGACTGGGCAGATGCCCAGAGGCGCTGGTGGTTTGGGGGCGCCCGCACTAGGAAAGAGAAAAGAAATAGATTTTCACCAGCCGGGATTTCAAAGACTAAAATTTAAACAAGTAACTTCAACTTGTTGTTAAGTGATTTTCCCTTGTTGAAAATGTAAAAAATACGCCTTCAAATTAAAATGTTTGATCTAGTGGAGGAGTGATTGAAGAGAAAGCAGTATACCTCAGGGTGCGCAGCAGTGTGAACCGGGCGCACTCACTATCCAGGCGGTAGACTACAGTAATCAGCTGGTGACGCGCCCCTCCCCTCCCTCGTCAATACCCATAGTGCAGTCAGTGGCCCAGTAATAGAATTGTTGTCTTGTGGTGTGTTGTTATGTTGTCTTTTGTAATAACTTGTCACTGTGCAGTGTCTTATTATCTTATAAGTGTTACGGTACAAGTGTTATTAAACAAACAGCGTTCAAATCAGTTTAGAATTTTTGATTCGATCAAGTATTATCATCGATGCAATCAATCACGTCTCTCTGGTAGACTCATCTAGTAATTTCGCGAAGCAGACTCAACGATCATATCGGCATACGTGCTGGCGACAACAGAGGCATAACCGGACTGGTTGAGAATGGCTCGCATGACAAAAAGCTACTTTATTATATAAAATGTACAATTTCATTCTAATTTAACCAGTTTCCAATATCTTACCGCATTTCCTAGATTAGTATCATTTCAAGAAACATACATACTAAAAGGTGAGGTGAGGTGTCAAAATGAATTTTTAATTGTACGGAATACTTTCTTGTCTTCCGAAAAAACCAAAAAGGCATAATGTTTTATTTTACTCTTAACAATAATTACATAAATGTAACTAAAATGATTGTAAAATCGTAAAAATGTAAACACTATTAGTTAATGGCATTAAATCTAAAATATAAGCTAAATTGATAAGGAAAAAAAGGACACTTTTTTAAACATCTTTTAATAGCGTTTCTTAAACTCTCATATTTAGCGCCTATTTTTTATATTGTTGCCCCTACAAAATAAAGTAGATGAAAATATCACAACACCTGTGATGGCAGCTTGCACGATTGAAGTCCAAACAAATTATTAATTTTATTAAAATTTAAAATTCAACAAAATTAAAGAAATATTTATTTGTTTAACAAGGCAAAAAAGTAACAGACTTACTGCCGAGGCTAGCATTTCTCACCACCTAGAATGGATATGAAATATATTCGTTCAGTTGAAGGCAATAGCATACTTTTTCGTTTTGTAATCTGCCCGTAGATAAGGTAATATCCATGTGGGTGTAGAAAAAATTTTTTTTTCGTTATCTTTACAAGAAAGATACCCCAAGAAAAAACTTTGCTAGTGGATATTAAACATTTAATAGCTGATATTAAATTTTTTAATACTATATGAGATAGATAAACTAATTAATAGCAGCTATTTAACTTTTGTTCTTGGATCAGTGTTGCTGTCACAAGCAACTAATAAAAAACTTTTCCTTACGTTAATATAATTTAATAACAGGTACTATACAGTTTAATAGAAAAACTAAATAATTTAATATTTATTATTAAACAGCGTAATGATAGGTATTGAACAGCCGAATAGCGTTTAGTTAATAAATATAAATTAATTTTATAACCGTTATTAAATGGTTTATAATGATGGACATTTGCAAGTTTTAATACTCCCTATTAAACCACTTTAATTTTGGTTATTAAATAGGTTTATAGAGGTCGACCAAACCCCCTCCACCCCAAATAAATTGGCAATTGTCTCGTATTTAACTATAATAGGTAAACTTTTGATGGTATACTCCACTCTTAAAGTAAATAAGTTGCATAGATTAAATCTGTGTTACTCTAGAGCAACTTTTCAAACCTAAAAAATCTTTATTTTTTTTTTAGAAAATAAACTGATAAAATTTTAAAAAAGTGGCTTTAGAGGATAAAGCTTTATATAATAAACTTTAAAACTGGGGTACTACTAAAAGTTGTAAAAGGTCTTAACAAAAACATACCACATATTCCTTAGACCAAAATAAGTCGATTTAAGTAAAATCACCTTAGTACAAAGTTGCTTCGTTTGGGCTCCAGAGGGCCTTGAAGTTACAATTTTTAAATGGTTTTTCCCATATAAATTTAAAACGGCATATGCTATTTTGCTGAAATGTGGTATATTGGTAGAGTTTTATGTGGCAAAAAAAATGGTATTAAAATTTTGTCCGATAATAATACATAGGCGTAGAACTTGATTTTTTAAATAATTGCACCTTTAAAAATTCTACGCCAATGGAAGAAAAGGAGCTTGAGTATGAAATTTAGATTGCACAACTCATTTATTTTAAAAAAGGTACTCTTGATAAGACTCGATTACTCTCATGGTTTTGACGAAATTTGCATTTTAGTAATTTTAGAACATAAACAATAATTATTAAAATACAAACTTTGTCAAAACCATGAGAGTAAATCGAGTGTTATCAAGGGTACTTTTTGTGGTAAATGAGTACCCAATCCAAATTTCATACTCAACCCCCTTTTTTGCTTTTGGCGTAGAACTTTTAAAAGGTGCAATTATTTAAAAAATCAAGTTCTACGCCTATGTATTATTAACGGACAAAATTTTATACGATAAAAAACATAAAAATGTACTTTTTTCATATCTTCTTCAACACCTCTAATCGAGACTTTTAACAAAAATACTCGATTCTTGCCATGTACGATTTTTTGAGGAATATTAATTATTTGGCTGCAATACGTATACAAAAACATTTATTGTTGGTTTCCATAGTTTCATCTAAATAAAAATATTGTCAAATTTTAACATCTAATCTCTTGTTAACGATTGAAAGTGTTCTATCTGATTCAATAATTAAAAAAACAAATGCGTGGTTTATTAATATGGCTGTACAATATACCAATGCAGAATATACCGATATGTTACTGACATTAGGATTTTGTGAAGGAAATGCTCGAGAGAGTTTCCAAATCGTCGTGAACCTAGCCATCCAACTTTTGCTGCTGTTGAGAGACGTCTTCGGGAGACCGGTTCCTTTGCTCCCAACACTGTTAATAATGGAAGAGAACGTTTTGTAAGGATTCCTGAAGTTGAAGAAGACATTTTAGAACGTGTTGAAGAAGATCCAGAATTAAGCACCAGACGAATTGGAAGGGAAGTAGGAGTAAGTAAAGATGTCGTTCATAAAGTGCTTAGAGAACAATTGCTATATCCATACCATAAGAAGCCAGTACAAGAATTATTAGTCCATGATCCTCAAATTCGTTTGGGTTTTCGTCGATTTGATAATATGCAAAGAGAAAGAGATCCAAACTTTGTCAAGAAGGTTCTCTTTACCGATGAAGCGGGTTTTACAAGAAGAGGTATAACTAATACCCATAATGAACATGTTTATGCCGTTGAAAATCCGCATGCAATAAAGGTAAACCATTTTCAGCACGAATGCAAAATTAATGTGTGGGCTGGAATAATTGGTAATTTCATTGTTGGTCCTGTCATACTTCCACGAAGATTAACTGGAGAAAATTATTTGGATTTTCTACAAAATACGTTGCCAGAATTGTTAGAAGATTTACCTCTCCAACTTCGGAGAGATATGTGGTTTATGCAAGATGGAGCTCCACCACATTTTTCTTTAAACGTTAGAAACCACTTGAATGAACAATATCCACACAAATGGATAGGCAGAGGTAATGACGCACCTGTAAACTGGCCACCACGTTCCCCAGACCTAACACCGATCGATTACTTTTTATGGGGACATCTGAAATCCACAGTTTACAGTTTTACCTGTAGAAAATGAGGAACAACTCTGGCAACGTATTCAAGATGCAATAAACAATCTTAGAGGTGATGAAGAAGTTATGGAAAGGATACATTTTAATTTTCTTCGACTTTTAAATCTTTGTATGCGTGAAAATGGTGAACATTTTGAACAATTTTTGTAAAATCTCTATTTTGATTATGTTGTAAATAAATATTTTTGTGAAACCTATATACTCTAAATTATTAAAACAGAAATTTAGCGAAAACCATGAGAGTAATCGAGTCTTATCAAGAGTACCTTTTTTAAAGTAAATGAGTTGCGCAATCTAAATTTCATACTCAAACTCCTTTTCTTCCATTGGCGTAGAATTTTTAACGGTGCAATTATTTAAAAAATCAAATTCTACGCCTATGTATTATTATCGGACAAAATTTTAATACCATTTTTTTTGTCACATAAAACTCTACCAATATACCAAATTTCAGCAAAATCGCATATGCCGTTTTAAATTTATATGGGAAAAACGATTTAAAAATTGTAACTTCAAGGCCCTCTGGAGCCCAAACGAAGCAACTTTGTACTAAGGTAATTTTACTTAAATCGACTTATTTTGGTCTAAGGAATATGTGGTATGGTTTTCTAAAGACCTTTTACAGACACCTTGTATAATATCTCAAAACTATTATTTTCACTTATCCTCTTTCACATAAATAACTACTGAAATATTTTTTTAATTTTTATATCTTTGTTATCTATCTACCTCTATAAATTAATTTACATACTATCTGAGGAAGGAGTAGTGCGGAGATCAACTAATTCACATACCAGATATTAGCATCATAATTTTATATTAACAAATTTACACAATGACCTTCAACCGATGCTGTGTATAAATTGATGTGTAGAATTTCAAAATAGCCTTCAAACTTGATTACTAGCATGCTGACTATGATTATTTATATTGTATATTTAGTAGATGTTTTGATTTTATTCGTCATTTATAGTAAACCACTACACAATTAAAAATGAATGTCCCGAAAATCGAACAATTAGATAAATTAATAAAACAGCATATTGGTAAAAATAAAACTATAGTTGATACGAAAATAACAAGACTGACTGCTCCTGGAGAAAATTATGGAAGCGAAATGCTGAAAGTCGATCTAATCGTGAAATCGAATGATACAGGAAGCACAGAAGATCTCAACGTTGTTGCCAAACTCATTCCATCAAGTGAATTTTTTAGAGTGGTTTTTAATATCCAAGTGAGTTTTAAAAATGAGAAAGCTTTCTATGATACAATAGTGCCTACGCTACAAGACTTTCAAAAGAAGCATGGAATTGAAGCTGTTATTGATTTTTTTCCATCATTTTTTGGTTCCAGGAATAATTTGAAATATGATGATGGGCAAGTAGACGATGATGCAGCACTAGTTTTAGAAAATCTGAAAATAAAAGGTAAATATTATGATTTTGGGATTGATTTATATCTGGTCTAGTTTTAAAAAGAGTATATTGTTTTAAGAGTGATTCTATTAGATTATGTGTAGATAGAAAAAAAAAATAAATTTATATTTGGTATTTGAAGTTACAAAATAACTATTAACTATTTAATATTTAACAACTGACATTGACAGTTCTGAATAATGTTACTTCAAATAAACAACTGACGCCAGACAACTAGATTGTTGTCGTTTTAAATTTATTTCATGTTGTTTTTAATTTAATAAAAGTGTATTGAATAGGGTTTCCAGACGTCACGCTTTAGGCGTATTTTCCACGCTTTTTGACTTGCTTGTGCGCTCAACGCCGTAGTTCGTAAATGTCCCGCTTTTGACAAAAATGCCACTCTTTTTATGCAAATGCCACGCTTTATAATATTCAAAGCCGGAGAAACTGGTTTTATAGAAAAATCCAAGGTGAGGACCTTTTTTTTTTCAGAAATAATGGACCTGATTATATGAAAATGCTTGATATTTGAACCTGATGGTCTGTCGGCCCGGTATTAAACCCATTTAGATTTTAATAAGTTTAGCTTTATTTTATTATTAATAATATTGTTAATGAAAAAATATTTTCTGCAATTCGATAAATTCTGCACCCATTTAAATTTAATGACAACTCTAACATACATTCAGCTCCGTCATTTTGGAACCCGACTAATATCAAAATAAAAAAATATTTTTATGAATTAAAACTATAAACGATGTAGATGATTTTAGTGACTCTTAATTTTAATTTTTAATTTATTTAATATTATTATTATTTAAAACTGCTAAATTTGTATTTGGAATCGTTTGTAGTTTTATGTAGTGAAAGAAAAAATTTGAAAAAATAAAAATAAAAAAATATTGTAAATGTCCATTATAAAAATCGAAATTATTAATTTTCACAGCAATTACTGAAATCTTGCTATCCACACTATCAAAATTTGGATAGTGTGGATAGCAAGTTGGTGGTTCGAGACCCGAAACTTTAAGTTTTTTTTTTTTTCCTAAAAAAAAGGAAAAATATTATTGTTTTATTATTTCACAGTCTTGGTAATATAAAATGTTTAGTATTTAAAAAGTATATACTTATTCAATGCATAGTGGCGCATAACGAGGTTCATTCATTTTTATGTTGGCCGGCAATTAAACCCCGGAAAAAGTGGCTGCCTTTTTGGAATTAATTTTTTTTATATTTATTTAAGACGCTATTAAAATTTCAGCGTGAATCAAACACTTCAAATCATATTTTAAAAAAATCAACTTTGGGGTTGATTTATTAATTATAAACCCTCTCAAAAGTGTCTTCCTAAATTACTAGTATTTTTAGAATTACCTAAACTTTCAATTGTTGTTTGTTGACCTCTGAATCAAACACTTTTTTTGGGTCATATTTTACGACCCCTTCCTATTATTCGTAGCACCAGCAGGCAGATTCCCATTGACAATTCGATATCGAAATACCCGATTTCGACAGTTTGGTGAATTCCGATTTGCGGAAAATCATATTCGCATCGACTAAAACGATTGCGAGTCACTCGCCAGCTCTATGGTGCCGAATTGCTCGATTTCGGTAGATTATTGAGGTTATAGCACGTGGTTGTAGAGGTTGTAGCCTTGTAGAGGTTGTGATTTCTAGTTGAAATTTGAAGAGTTTAAAGCATTGTCACTGTTGATTATTCTGTGTCATTGATATAAGAAGTTCTTGAGAATTTTGAGAATATAAGTAAAAGGTCTGCCTTAAAAAATAATAATGTAAGTACCTATAATTAACTGTTAAATTGAAACAAACTAGCACAAAACTATTATAGGTAATTATGATGGGTTTATGCACGAATTTAATTTAACTTAATTTAAGAATTAAGCCCTGCTATTGGCTGTGATCACCTTATTGGCTGCTCTTGCGTTAAATTAAATTGTGTGCATAACTATTCCTTTAGAAAGACAATGTCAGTTTGGATGGCATTGTTGACAATTAAAAGACGTATTGCGCATGCTTGCTACGAATACTACGGGTTTCGGAATCGACCAAAACGCAGGGCAATTCGATAGCGAATAGGAATAGCAAATTTCTCGATATCGTATTTGGTTGCGAGTATCGAAAGCCATTCGATTTCGCATTTTGCACTGATTTGGAATCTCACTCCTGGTATCCCAGGGTGGGTCTAGCCAACACAGGTATATCTGATTTTCCATCCAAATGATTTCAAATTACAAAATTTCAAAGTGCATCAAACACTTAATGGAATGTGTATTACTAGCTCTTGGACTATTATGTATGAATACATCTAAAAAGCAATTTATACCAGGAGTATGTCATTATTATGTCCCTGGACGATAGTAATACGCTTATTATAATACTAAAAATTCATAACTTAACTCTGTATGGGACTATAGTAGTCCAGTTTATTATTTCTCTCTATGTCGCTAAAATAAACCGATAACCTGTGTAGACAGACTGGATTATCGCGTCGTGCGACATTGTAGACAAAGTGTCCGCAAATTAAAGAGAAACCAGTGTCGTCGCATCCGTTGTGTCAGTTTATTATTTAATTTAATCGGTTGCAGTATTTTAAACATTAATTATTACCTCATATTTTAATTTCTACGATTTATTATATAAAGTAGATGTAATAAATAATTTTACAAAGCGAAAAAAGATTAATAATCAATCAGTTTGAGGATTCGATTATGAACAAAATACCTTCAAGTAGAGATATAGGTACTTCGTTCCAAGTATACGATACAAAATTAAAAACTGAAATAAATATATACCAACTGCAAAGTGTCTATTGAAATTAACGACTAACGATATATAATTTTTTTCAGACAAATAAAATGCTGCCTCTAGAATAAATAATATTTTAATTATTGCATTTCCAATTCTTCCGAAATGAAGGTTTCTTATTTTTTATCAATTTTGCATGAGATACCTTCTTATAGATATAAGTAGGTATGAAATAATTGACTTAATTGGTTATAGTGCAAACATATCTCTACTGGTTGGGTTTCTTCCCAAGTGACATCATGTTTTCAATTGGTAAACAATAAGAGCGTCAACATTTTATTAATTTAGTTATTAAAAAAAATATTTTAAAAATAAAATTACAAAGTAAATGTACAAATAATCTAAACATGAACCGACTTATGTAATAAAAATGTGACTTACATATTGCTGATTTAACTCATTTCTTCATTGTTTCCAAATTCCTGTTCCTCGTCTTCCTTCTCCTCATTATCATCAATTATATCATCACCGTCGTCATCCTCATTGAGATTTATGATAAATCGTTCTTCATTATTTATGTGTCTGCCGCTGTTGTTCCTATTCGCTCCGTGCGAAGTCATGGAAAGGGAAGCAAAAGCGATACTAGCGCTAGCTGCGGATAATTCGTGCATTTTAGGGCCATATTTTGTAATTTTGGCATATCAAATACACGTATAAATTTTACTTTTTTTCAAAAAAAGTAGGTAAAAACAATACAATAAGCAACCGGAGTTGCTGTGTTGAAAATTGTACAAATACTAGCAAAAAAACAGTGAAACTTATATAAAAAATTTCAGTAGCAAAGTGGAAAATAAATCAAAGAAATAAATGGATAGATATACAATAAGAAGGAAAATTACCTTTATTTTTTTAATAATAACCGTAATGCTGCAAATAGTAGACATCAGAAACTTGAAAGGTTTTAAATCAACAATAAATTATCATTTTACCATGTTCTTTAATATCCCTTATTCTTAAATGATCATTCAGCAAGGACTAGATTTCAAGATTTCTGCCTTTGATTATTATATGTGGTTGGAACGCAATTTTGTAACTTACTCATAGGAAATCAGTTTTAATCATTCATTCTATGTTTTCTTTCGAACAAAAATGAAAATATAAGTAATGATTCTTTTTTTATACATTTTAACTTCACGCTATTATTAAATGGTATTTTTGTATTTTGACAGAATAGACTAATTCTTCAATGAAAACTTATTAGACTTAGGCAACTTCTCATACATTTTCCAGTAAATGCTGTTGCCTGCCTATATTTTATTATTTATTTTTATCAATTATGCATAATTTTCTTTAATTTAAGCGATAAAAATATATAATAATAATAAATTAATGTTTTACTTGTTTTACAAATCCATATACTTTTATTAAAACTAACATGTATACTTTTTAATTACGAATTCTATTAAAAGTTGCATTTGTCAGTATACGCCGAAATAGTCCATTAGTATCAAAACGAATTGGCGCTACTGTCGCGCACGGAGCGAATATTCCTCTTCTATTTCATACACATGTTTTATAACTACAGATTTGTTCTTTGATCAAGTTGACGACGTGAGAATCAAATTTGGGAAATATTTTTTTTCTCTGAATATTTTGTTTCAATTGGCTCCAGAGTAACTCTATAGGATTAAAAATACAAAAATGTGGTGGCAACCTTAAAACTGTATGATCCCTTTCACCTACAATTTGATCGACTATATACGTTTTTTCAAAATCTTTAGGACTTCCAAAAGTTTATATTTTTTTTTTTAGTTTTTATCAAAATATAAATCATGATTTATTAAAAATTCTTGAATTTTATCTTCCCTAGAGTTTTTATTAGGTATCTTTTCCATAAACCTGCAGTGATATGAAGCATTGTCCATAACTATTACACTTTTTGGCTTTAAATTAGGCAACAGTGAATTCGTAAACCATTCTTCAAAAATATTGGAATTCATATTTGAATTTTGAATGGTAGTCAATCTGGCATCTATAATTTTTTTTTTTTAATAGTAAAGCATTGTCAACCCAACCTCTGAGCCACAGTTTAATATTATCAATCGAGTGCCTTTATTTGGAGGAATGCCTAAGGCTTGGCAATATTTATTATCATTTGTCCAGCCCTTTTTTTGCAGTATCATGTGAATCATACCACGTTTCAAGCAGAAAATAAATTGGCCTGCTTTCATTTTTTGTATTCA